TGAAACTGCTTCCTGCTGGCAAGGGGCATAGAGCTGTCCCTGCCCCTCTGGGTCCTGTTTGAGGGGTCAAACTTCAAAAACCCGGCTGATGCCAGGTTCAGCGGGCCAGAATCCTTGGGTTGGTATACAGCCTGAGCAGTCATCTGGAAGTTGATGGCTCCAACCCTAGAAGAAAGGAATCTGGCAAGGATATTTAGTAAACATGGACCAAACAAACACAAAAATATGATCAGTAGTGGAATGAGAATAGGAACCAGTATAGAAAGAAGCCAGGACTCCTATGAAAAAGATTTGAACACTAAAGTTATTGTGAATTTCTTGCATCCAACTAGCTTTTTCCAAAATATGAGCAGTGCAGAACTCTTATCTGCCCAGAGTTGTTATACATGCAACAAAATGTGTTTGCTAAAGCACATACACTCCCACTGGAGGCAAGCAAGTAGTTTAGGGCTATTCTATTATCTAGAACTACTTTTGCTAAGGTATCTAAAGATTGCTGGATTTCCCAGGGACCATAAGCTGTCACATTTGCCAACTGGCGAATAGTCTCTGAAAGGTTAGAGAGAATATGTTCATGCTGTAAGTTATACCAGGACATAAGATAGTGTGCTCCCTTTTTAAGAGACCAGAGGACATTTCCTCAAAATCCATGTTTTGCCTTTAAGTTAGAGACTGTGGGCTGTTTGGCGTTGAAAATGGAGAAGGGCGGTGCTAAAAATCCGAGGGTGCATACCCCAAAGTCTTTGTAGGGTGTCAAACATTGAGTGACCAAAACAGTAGTTCTGGGGTCTTGCCATGTGTTGGCACTTGTCTTACCTTTCCCCAAAAATTCTTGTCACTAGTGCTATCTGCACAGGCTGTAGTGCAGGTCAAAAGACAGCAGAAAGTCTAACAAGCCCTCCCTCTGCAGTGGTGTTAACTTGTCTAGTGGTCTTGCAGCTTGTCTCCCAAGTACGGGAATATTCCCCTGTGGAAAAGCAAGGTGTTGATACAGAGAGAGTGGCCCATAGAGAAGTGGCAAGCATAAATGGAGTGGCATAAACTTCTGAGAAAGTCATATTGGGAAGGGGGGCTTTGCGGAGAAGAGAGTTACCTTGTGGGTGTGAGTGTTCTAAAGAGCTTCCCAGTTTAGCTAGGGAAATATCTCCCCACTTTTGGAGGCCAAATGCAAATTTGGAGGCTTCCTCAATTAGAATGACTGTAGCAGCCACCGCCAGGAAGCTTGCCAGCTTTCCAGTGGCACTTAAGGACTGAGTTAGGGGCCTGGAAGTCAATTTAGATTCTAAAATCACAAGCCTGGTCTGGGCCCCACTCTTGAGGGAGTGAGTCAGGGCTCAGAGGACAGTCATAAATGGGCTTAACAATCAAACTATTATCAGAGATCCAGATTCTACAAAATTTTTCCAGGCTGAGAATAGTTTGAAATTGTTTCTTAGTGGCTGGGACCAGGAGTTGGTGGCCCAGAAACTGTATAGACTGGCATGCTATCTGGACTTTGTTCAAAGAGACCCCATAGCCTTGAGTTCCCAAGAGATTTAGCATTCCTGAGGCAGTGGACAAAGAAGCCTCTTGGTCTTGGAGGTGAACAACAGCAGGGGTGGCAAAAATATCCCAAGTTGTCTCCCACACTTCCAGGGGAACATAGGGAGGTCTCGCACACAGAGGGAAAAGGGAGATGGGAGGCTTAACTAGAGAAAATTGGCTTCCCAACTTCACCATCAGGTTCCTTCCCAATGAGGGAGCAGGGCAAGAAGAGAACATAAGAGAGGAGTGTTTAAACAACAGATTCTCAAATAGGCAGGGGGATGGGGTATGTCTGGAGACATCCCTCAGTTACCTCTCGAATGCCCATGACCAGATGGGTCAAGGAGGGAATAGGGCCAGAGTAATTGGTTAAAGCAAAGAACATAACCATGATATAGTGGGTAACCTTACTTTCAGCCTCGATTTCTGTCCAGGGCTTGGCAAGAGAGATGGAGAAAGTAGGAGCATTGCCCAGACTCAGGTTCCTTTGTCCTCCCCAGTCTTGAGAAGACTGGAGGACAAGGTACTGGGGGGCTGCTCTACCACTTCTCCTACCTCGGGGACAATCCTTCCTCCAATGTCCCTCCTGGTCACATCTTGGGCAAGGTCCTGGAGGTATCTGTCTTGGGGGCTTCCTCCAAGGGGGCACCCTGGAGGGGCACTCCTTGGACCAGTGAGCCTCCCAGTGGCCTCCCCTGCCCAAGTCGCTGGGCTTCCTCTGAGGGAATGCCATGGAGAGGCACTCCTTGGACCAGTGACCTTCATGGTGGCATTGAAAGCAGGTTTTCCCACTGCCCAAGTTGCCAGAAACACCCTTGGGTCTTTTCCTGACCATGGCAGCAGCCAAGAATCAAGCATGTTCTTTGTCTCTAGCCCTCTGCCTGAGTTCTTTCTCCTCTGCAGCAACTAGGTCCCTGTTGTTAAAGACTCCAAAGGCAATCTCCAATAACTGGGCCTGAGGTGTTTGGGGTCCCATTGCCAATTTCTGTAGTTTCCTCCTAACATCTGGGGCAGATTGGTTAATGAAATACATGCTAAGGATTGCTGCCCCTTCTGTAGAGTCAGGATCTAAATTCGTATACTTTTTAATGCCTTCTACTAGCCTATCTTGGAAAAGGGCAGGGTTTTCCTTTTCTTCCTGAGTAATTCCCTTAATCTTTTGAAAGTTGACTTGCTTTAGGCCTTCTAAGAGGCAAATTATCATGTAGTCTCTCTTTCCCCTATCCTCACTCTTCTGATAATCCCACCCCAGATCACTAGCAGGAACAGCAGCCATTCCTGGGGGGTATTTTGTGGGGTCATTGCTAGCAAAACACTCTCCAAAGTTTTGGGCTTGTTCCCAGATTCTCTTCCTCTCCTCAGGGGTACAACAGGTGGAGAAGAGGACATGCAAATCACCCCAAGAAAGTTGGGACACATCCCTGAAGCCCTCAGTAAATTTAGTGGGATCTTTAGAGTATCGACCCAGCCTTTCCTTAATCTGGATGAGGTCTGAAATGGAGAATGGAATATACACCCTAATTGTCCTGTTAGGAGAGGCAGGTACATCCCTTAAAGGAAAAAGCCCTGAAGGCCCTGTGGGAGCAGGGGCTTGTAGAGGAAGGAGGTAGGAAGTCCCACTTCTTGTGAGTGAGGGACTGGAAAGTGCTGGCTGAACTGGTAAGGTCGAGGAGTCCTGCTGGCAAGGGGGAAGATTACCTGACACTGGAGGAGGGGGAGGTATCAGGGGAGAAGACGCTGCTTCGATACCCTTGTCTGGAGCCTCAGGAGGGGTCCTGTCCGAAGTAGAGGTCTGGGGAGGAGGCACCAAGTTGAGAACCTCATCTGGAGCTTGAGTTGGGGTCTCTCTGGAAGTAGAGACTCTCGATCAAGGCCTGAGTAGAAGCAGCCTCTAGAGTAGGGTCTGGGGAGGAAATGGAAGGAACCAAAGGAGCGGGGAGGAGGGGGCGAAAATGGGGAACAGCCAGAGAGGCCAGAGGAGAATGGGATGGGGAAAGGTGCTGGGAAGGTGGTGCAGATGGAGTTTGGGAAGAGGGGGATGCCATAACCCTAGGAGCCATAAGAGGATCATCCGAAAGATCCATTTGGTCCCCACTCACTGGTAGTGGGGTGGCTCTAGCTATGAGCATCTTACAATCCTTTCTGAGAATGGGATCTCTAGAAAGCTCAACAAAAGCCATTAAGTAAGAAATCTCTACCCATTTTCTTTCTCTGCAACAATATTTTTCTAACTCTGAGAGGGTCTTTACCCATAATGTCCCAAAAAGGGGCCATGCCTCACAATTTTCCAGGTGATACTGAGGCCAAACGATGTTACAAAAATGCACCAGCTTTTCTTTTTAAGTTCTTTAGAGAAGCTAAGATTTTTCCAATTTAGTAAAAGACAGCCCAAAGGCAAATTCTTGGGAAATTAAAAGGATTGACCTATTGTGGGCTTAGGGAAAAGAAAAAAAAAAAGAAAAGAAAGAAAAAAATATACAACCCACAGTTCCCCAATTCCCTAGCACCGAGAGAACTGAGAAGTTTGAACCTGTGCTTCCTGATAGGGAATCCATCCTTTATGCTAAGGAAGGTATACCCAGGTCCAAGTGCTCAAGCAGAGGCACTAGACCAAAAAGCCTGAGAGCTTCAGGTGGAATTGGGGAGGAGGAGGCTTACCAGTCATGGCTGAAGAAGAGTTTGAGATTTAGAAGCTATTTTCCCGGTCAGGGAACCATATGAAGAGGTCTAGGACTTTTGGGGTGCTGATGGAACCCCAAGATCATGGTAACAGGCCCTGCCTGAAAGAATTTAACTCAAATCTTCTTCAGCCAGAGGAAAAGTTTATTAGTGATAAAACACTTAGGTTCAGGTGACACCCATAAGGATGAGCGGGCATGAGCATGAGCATGAGCCTTGTGGGCCTGAGATTCTCAGCCCTGAATGAGGGCCAGGGTAGATCTTATATACTTTTGGGTGACCACTGAAGGGTCTGGGAAAATGGTCTGGGGAAAGGGTATGGGGAAAGGGTCTGGGTGAGAATTCCCAGAGATTGGAATGTCTAAGAGACTGAATAGACAATGGGAATAGATAATGAAGGAACTGAAAGGCATCTGAATGAGATTAAAAGGTAGGTTAAGGCTTTCAAAGGGAGATGAGGGGCTGGGGCCTGTAGACAAGGGGAGCCAGATTCCCCTTTGGGGCAAGGGGCAAAGACCTCTTCTTGGGCCACACCCCATCACATCTGCTTTTCAAAGCATGTCTTTAGCTGCTCAATTACTTTCCTCTTGTACTGTATGGAAGTAGGATTTAAAGGCCCTGATATTAGTAACTAGAAACTGATGTCCACTACAAATGTCATTAAAACAAACAAGATATGGGTTGAAAATTTTTGCCCCAAAATGAAATAAATAAATAAAACAAGCTAATCATATTTTTTTCCTTTTAACACCCTTAACAACTCAGCCCCTTCCTGCTTTTTCTCATTTCTTATCTAGTACTACTCTGGGACTTCTTTACATGTTCTAGAAACCTCATAACTGGGAAAACCTCATCATCCTGCTGGATACCATCAGCCTTGGGATTCCACTCAATGACATGCTCTGTTCCTCTGATTAGAGGGTGAAGCCATGGATTCTAAAACCTCCATTTAAGGAGGGAACCCAGCTCAGAACCTCTCCTCATTTCTCATTAAGCTGAATTACTTTGGGACTTCTCTCTCTCTTGAGTCTTCAGATATCTGAAGGCCATTCATGTGGAAGATGATCTGTTTGACCACAGAAAGACAATTAGAAATAATGGCTGGAGGACGTAAAGAAGGAAATTTTAAACTCTAACCTTTGGTTCCAAAAAGCTCTTGTATGCACAGTAGCTACACCCTGGTAAACTGTCTCAGAAGATGGGCTAAACCAGGTTGATGAAAGTAACCAACAGACCTCAAAGCCACCAGTGAGGTGGGAGGTGTTGTCCATCCCAAGCAGGTGAAGACTTCCCCTGACAGAATGGGCAGATGAGAACAATTTGTTCCAACAGCCATGAAGGGAGCAGTAGCAGGTGCTATGGAGCACTTAGAACTTGGTCAGACATTGAAGATGCTAAGGTAATCCACTGCATGCTGGGCCATTACCGGTTATCCTGACTTTTGTCTTCCACTGGACTTCGATGACTCTGAAAGAGGGAGTGCAACTCTGCCTCACTTACATCCAATTCACACTCAAGTCATGACATCACCTCATGATGCCACCCATCCTCTTCTAAAACGAAGGATGAACACTAGCAACAAACTTGAGGTAAGGAAAAACATTCTAAGGAGAGCTATCCACAAGGAAAATGGTTTACCTTCAGAGCTAAGGGAGCCTGTGGCTATCCAGGTATTCAAGTGAAGGCTGAATGACCAATGTTGGGAACATTGCAGTTTGAATTCTCTGGATTCCTGCCTGGGGAAGGGACAAATTTGATGACTTTGATACTAATGGCACCTAACCCACTAGTTTATTGTGAGGCTTGAATTAGAAAATGTACTGAAGACACTATGTAAACTTTAAAGCTCTGCATGTAACAATCAGCTTTGAATTTCTCAGACTACTCTGTTTAACCTTCCCTGGAGAATTGGTCATCCTCTTGTTTGTACTGTGGTTTCTTATGAAGGTGAAATGAGAAAGGTGAGTGACACAGTCGAGCACTGGATTTAGGATCAAGAAAGTCTTAGTTCAAATCCTGTCTCAGACACTTACTAGCTGTGTGGCCCTGGGCAAGTCCCTTTAACCTCTGTTTGTCTCAATTTCCTCATCTGTAAAATGGAGCTAATAATAGTACCAGCCTCCCATGGCTGTTGTAAAGATCAAGTAAAATAAAAGTTTTAAAGTACTTTGCAAACCTTTACAATGCTGTAAAAATGTTAGCTATTATTATTGTTACTATTACTTTAGAAAAATTTGCCGTGTAACCAACTGTTTGTCATCTTAACTACCTCATACAATGAATGTCTTTACTATACCTAATACAATTTCTTTACTTAAATGGTAGAAAAGAAGACCATCTAACCATTATTTAGAGCAATTTTTTAAAGTTAAGCTATTCTGTTGATAACAATCCCTTTTTCTCCTTGGTTTTACTTTATATATTTGTTTTAAACTATATTGACCATATAATCACCTCTATTTTTCCCTAAAAAACTATCCAAAGTCATTGCAAATAGGGCCCTCTTCAGAGAAAGATTCATTGTAAGATCTGTCTGCTGAGTACAATATAATAGGATAAACATTTATTAAGTGCCTACTTTCTGCCAGGCACTGTACAAAGCATTGGAGATACAAATAAGAAAGATAATCCTTCCCCTCATGGAGCTTAAAATCTAATGGGGATAGACAATACACAAAAGGAAGCTGAAAGGATTTGGAGGGAGAGGGTACCTGGCTCAGGGAGCACGATAATGATGGTAGAGTCAAATATTAGCAGAGCTGCTGGTGGTAAATGAAGAGAAGGGTGTTTAGGGGAAAGTTTTTTGCTCCGTTCTCCAGCACTCTGATCAGAAGAGCTAAAGCAAGTGAAGGTGCTGATGAGGTGTGAGTGGCAAAGCTGGAGCAATCTCCATAACGATGAGTTTGCTGGTGACGAGTTTATCCTTGGTGGGGATGCAGCAGTAGGGAGGAATATGGTGGTGGTGGTGGTGGTGGTAGAATTGAAACTAAACAGAGCAGCTAGTGGCAAATGAATGAGTGGTGTTAGACACTGATTTATCACAGGGTAAGGAATCATTTCTTACATTTGGGATCTGATTTTTTTTCATTTGGTACTGATGTCTTCCCAACTCTTTCTCCTTTTCTGCCTATAACACATGGGATGATAATCCTAACACAATTAGTGAATTTATAATAACATCTTTTCAATGAGGAATATTTCCATATAATCACATAAAGGAATAGTCTCTTCATAAAAATAATAGAATTTCAGAATGGAAACGGACCTGGCAGCCATCCAGTCCACACCCAAAACAATCCCTATTATAACATTCCAGACAAATGATTATTCAGACCCTATTTGAAGACCTTCAAGGAAGGAGGTCTTTTCATGACTTTTTTTGAACTCTTAAAAAGAGAAGTATTTGATTCTTCCTTTATAGATTCCTGATTCAGAATATTTCATGAAATCAAGCAAATAATTAAATCTCTAGTGACTCAGTTTCTTCTTCAGCAAATGAGAGATAAAATATTGTGAAACCACCTTGAGTATATAAAGGTTAACATAAGTCATTGATGAGCCATTTTACTAGTCTCCTGAGAAATGATTGCTGAAGTCCTACATACTATTAGAAATGATGCAAGCATGTGTTTTTTAAAGTATTGATTTCTAGAACTCTAGGATTTCTCTGTGAACACCTCCCCAAACTTAAAAATTGTCCATTAAAATTACCACTTGTGGTTTGGTCAATTTTTAAACGTAGAATAACTTCTTCATTCATCAACTCTGGTTTCAGTCACATCAGCAGTAAGTTGAAATTAGTTGTACGAATAAATATTCACAGATACATGGTCTTGGAGGAGAAATGGGAACCTGCAGTGATGGTTCTGATTAATGAAACAGCTCTTATTTTCAGCTGATTGCAAGAGGCCCTACAAAGCCATATCAGGTAGTCACTAAAATGGGATAAGTTCTGATCTTTCCACCTTCCTCGGAAGGTAGATTAATGAATTGTCTGCTCTGATACTTTAAGGTCCTGCAGGCTCCCACAGATCCTTCCACATAAACATGTCTTCAGTTAACAGATCTTGAAACCATTTTTCAATAGCATTGATTCTCTATGAATTCTTGCTGGATGAATGCATGAAAGGGAGGGAGGGAGAGAAGTGGGAGAGAGAGAGAGAGAGAGAGAGAGAGAGAGAGAAAGAAAGAGAGAGAATATCAGCAAAGATTGTACAAAAGTTAGTTTACTCAACTCATACACCCCATTACTACTGAACAACAGTTAATTATAGCTAGCATTTATACAGTACTTTAAAGTTTGCGAAGTGCTTTGCACATGTTTTCTCATCTAAGCCTCACAACATCCCTGTGAGGGAGTTACTATTATTATCTCCATTTTACAGATGAGGAAACCAGGGCCAAGACATGTTAAGTGACTTTTCCAGAGTGACACAATTAGTAAGTATCTGAGGCAGGAGGCAAACTCAGGTTTTCCTGACTCCAAGTCCAGAGCTCTTGCTGTTCAATGGGCCATATTCCTGGCCTTCTGAATCCCTTAAATCCTTCTTAAATCTTTCCATAGCCCCAGTCACCACTTTAAGAAATCTTTCTTGGTTTCCTGGATCCCTGTATCATATAAAATAAGATATAAAATAAGGGCTTCCTTCCACTTTGCATGAGGATGAAGATGTGAGGAAAGGGGGGAGTTAGGATGTTACTGAGGCCCTCTGATATTTAGACCTTATACCTAATATTTTATTTATTATAAAATATTTTTCATTTGCTAATATCATAATTGATTATCTAATATTCCTATCCTATCATTTCTTGCATCTGTGGTAGTTGATAACAAAGTTATTTTTATTAAATGTGACCTTTTACAGTTTTGTTGAGATCTTCCATTGTTAGAAATTTCTTATTTTTCTCCTCACAGGTGGCTGATTGCAAACTTTGCTGTAGCAAAACATGTGATATTGTTCGTGGAAAATAACATTAAAGCCTCAGTGTTAGCACTGCCTGCTAGGTGGAACTGTCGAGTCCAAATTAAATTGTTCCTGCCTTGTGAACGAATCACACATTCTGGATCCTTCTCTACCACAGTTTTCAGCGTTCACAAAGCATGCTGGGCCAAAATGATGTAATTAACATCAATATATCTGAAAACAGAGAGAGGGTCAGCGCCCACCAGAGCTTTCTGAATGGTCAAAAATGCCTTAATGAAAGTGCTCCCAAGATATTAGGCACCTGAGGGTGGCCTTTTTCTTTTCATTGCACCTTAAACATTTTCTATTCTCTGTGAACACCCAGGTGCTTCACTTCAGGCAGAAGTCTTTGAAGTGTTCAACACATCTTCCTTTAACCACAGTCATTGGCCTATTCCTCTGATGCAATGTGAATTCTCCAGAAATTCATTTAGGGTCATAGCATCACAGAGCATCACAGATCATAGGGTCATACATCACATAGCATCACAAAAGTATCACAGGTCATTGGCAGTAAGTATCAAGAGCAGGATTTGAACCCATATCCTCTTTAAAAAGCCACCGTTAGCCCATCTTCAAAGGGTTTTTTTATGTATGAAAAGTGTAACTTTACTAAATTTTGTTTCTTTCTTTGCAAAAGAATATTTAAAATATAAATACTGCTGAACTGTGCACATGATTTGCTTAAATCATTTTGAAAATATTCCTCTTGGTAGGAATTTGCTTTTGAGAAAAGCAGTTAGCAAAGCAGATAGAACGGAGGCATGGAAACTGGAAGACATAAGTTCGAATCCTGCCTCAGACTCTTACCAGCTGTGTGACCCTGGGCAAGTCAATCAACCTTATTATAACTTCATTTGCCTCATCTCTAACATGGGGGTGATAATAGCATTTCTCTCAAAGGGTGGTTGTGAGGATCAAATGAGTTAAGATATAGAAAGCTTTCTGCAAATCTTACAGCAATAGAGATAGAGTTGCTAGATATTATTAGCTACTGTTATTTTTACTAGCTATGGTCACAATTTATATTACCAATAACATAATTTAATACCACTCTTTTGGGTTCTTGTGGCTTTTGAGTATGAAGCTTTTTTTGTACTAAAATTTACATTACTATCCTGTTTAAAATGTCATAATAATTTCTAAAAGGAAATTATATTGGATTCTGCAGCAGGATTATATCCTTTTTCATGACTCCAGAGTTACTGTTCTGTCTCATGTACCTCACTGGGCAGATTTCACTAATTCAGCTACAACTCTGGCTCTTGGCAAAATGTATAATGGCAGAAAGGTTTGGAAAAATTATTATGTATGTTGGTTTCTTCATTCATCAATTCATCTTTGTGGTATCTCAAGGTTTAAATACACTGGTAAGCTGAGGCCTATGAAATATTTGAGCTAGAAGCAACTTAGAGATCATCTCATACAAGACCCTTGTTCTATAAATAAGGAAACTGAGCTCCAGAAAGATGACCTGATTTGTCCAAAGTGACACAGGCAGAAGGCAGCAGGGGAAAAACTATAACCTAGATCTTCTGATGTCAAATCTAGTGGGCTTTCCCCTGCTTAAAAAACCTTCAATGACTATTGCTTCTAGGCTAAAACACAAACTCCTCAGGCTAATATGTAAACCCCTCCTCCACAATATTTTCCCTTTGGGGGGTGGGTGTGGAGAGAGGAGATTTTTTAAAATTTTTGTCAATTATCAAGCATGTATTATTCTTTCCTCTCACATACTCTCATCACACTCACTGAAATGAAAAGAAAGAAGGTAGGAAGGAAGTGTAGGAGGAAGAAAGGAAAGAAGGAAGGAAGGAAGGAAGGAAGGAAGGAAGGAAGGAAGGAAGGAAGGAAGGAAGGAAGGAAGGAAGGAGGGAGGGAGGGAGGAGGAGGAGGGAGGAGGAAGGAAGAGGAAGGGAGGAAGGGAGGAAGGGAGGAAGGGAGGGAGGAGGAAGGAAGGGAGGGAGGGAGGGAGGGAGGGAAGGAGGGAGGAAGGGAGGAAGGAGGGAGGAAGGAGGGAGGAAGGAAGGAAGGAAGGAAGGAAGGGAGGAAGGGAGGGAGGGAGGGAGGAAGGGAGGGAGGGAGGAAGGAAGGTAGGAAGGAAGGAAGGGAGGAAGGAAGGAAGGAAGGAAGGGAGGAAGGAAGGGAGGGAGGAAGGAAGGGAGGGGAGGAGGAAGGAAGGAAGGAAGGAAGGAAGGGAGAAGGGAGGAAGGAAAGAGAGAAGGAGGGGGAGGAGAGGAAGGAAGAAGGAAGGAAGGAAGGAGGAAGGAAGGGAGGAAGGGAGGGAGGAGGAGGAAGGAAGGAAGAGAAAGGAAGGAAGGAGGGAGGAGGGAGGGAGGGAGGGAGGAGGAAGGTAGGAAGGAAGGAAGGAGGAAGGAAGAAGGAAGGAAGGGAGGAAGGAAGGAGGAGGAAGAGGAGGGAGGAGGAAGGAAGGAAGGAAGGAAGGTAGGAAGGAAGGAAGGAAGGAAGGAAGGAAGGGAGGAAGGAAAGAGAGAAGGAGGGAGGGAGGGAGGGAGGAAGGAAGGAAGGAAGGAAGAAGGAGGAGGAAGGGGAGAAGGAGGGAGAGGAAGGAAGGAAGGAAGAAAGGAAGGAAGGAAGGAAGGAAGAAAGAGAGAAGGAGGAAGAAGGAGGAAGGAAGGAAGGAAGGAAGGAAGGAAGGAAGGAAAGGAAAGAGAGAGGGAGGGAGGGAGGGAGGGAGGAAGGAAGGAAGGAAGGAAGGGAGGAAGGAAGGAAGGAAGGAAGGAAGGAAGGAAGGAAGGAAGGAAGGAAAGAGAGAGGGAGGGAGGGAGGGAGGATCCCTGTATTATATAAGCATAGTCAAGCAAAACAGATTTCCTCATTCACTGCATCTAAAACTACCCTTTCTGCATTAAATGCCTAACTTTTCAGAATTTCTTTCCTAACAGTTCCTTTCATCTATTCTATTATATTCCTGCCGATTTGGTCCATAAACTATTCCTTTAATATAACACTGAGAGTTGGAATACCTTTGCATTGGCTGCCCCGTCTCCCAAGCCCTGAATGTGCCCCCTCCTCAACTTCTGCTCCTTACAAACAAACAAAATCCTAGCCTCCATGGAGACTCAGCTCAGCTCAGGTGCCACTTCTTCTTGAAGCCTTCCTTAGTCACTCATCTCTTCTCTGTTGTTACTATGATCTTCCTCCTCTAATTATCCTGTAATTTACTTCTCTCTGTACATGTATTTCACAGGGGAATATCAACTTTTTGATGGCAGGAATTGGTTTAATTTGTCTTTGTCTCTCTGGTACTTGGCATAGAACCTTATACATGTTATGGGCTTAACCAATATTTGTTGAATTGAATTGCCACTATAAGGACCTGTCTTTCTCGGGTAGAGGCTCTTAACTTAGTCTCTGTGGATAGATTTCAGGGAGTCGGTGACTCTGGATGGGAAAAAAAAAATACATTTTACTTTCACTAACCTCTCACTGAAATTTAGCATATACCTTCAATTATTTAAAAACATAATTCTAAGGAGAGGTTTATAGGTTTCACCAGACTGCCAAAGGGATATATAAAAAAGGTGAAGAGTCCCTGCCCTTTGGTTATTATAGAACCATCAAATGAAGTACCACATATAAAGTACTTGATAAAACAAATCTCTGGATAAATACTGTTAGCATCAATAATAAAAGCTATCCAAAGCCATGGGTACAAGAAAGAATGTGTACTGAAATAATACGCATTCTTTTTCTTGAGAATTTGCTATAGAATTTTCAGGGCTAGAAATGAGAAGGAATATCCAAATAGGTTAAAAAGCCAGCTATGGTTTGGACCCTAGCACAGTGCATTATATACGTTACACTTAAGAAAGGCCTGCTGTCAAATTGAATTGCTTAGGTTATTGTGCAAGGAAGAATAAATGTCTACACTCTAACCAATGTCTTTGGGAAAAACTAAGGATCTGTTTGGAAGCTAATTATGAATATTAGGTATGATCACTACACTATGACAGCACTTATTTATGGCATCATAACACAGCATAAGTGTTGAGAAAATAATACAAGGAAAGAGTAAATTTCAAGAAAAGGAACTTACTGGCAGTGATCTCTCTTACCTATGGAATATAATCTTTCATAGGATGTGGTAGAAGCTAAATGCCTTCAAACCACTTAAAAACAGACAAGATTAAATACTTAAGAATATGGTATAGGAAATTATCCTGTACTAGCAGGAAGAGAGGTCGACCATTGAACTCATCTCTCTATCACTAATTTCTACAGGTTGGCCCTGTACCCACTAGATATATCATAGGCATTTACTGTTATCCATCTCAACCATTTTCTGCTACAAAAGGTTGCTTTTTCTCCCCTTATTCTTTGTGAGATTTACTGATGTCTGCTCTAATTCCATATTGTGGTTTGGAGGTGGCCCTAGTATCTCAAAGGCTATGCCAACAGAATACAAGCATTTTCAGGTATGGTTGTTGGAAGAAGGAAAAACACTATCTCTGCTCTTTCAAGGCTAGCTTCTCTCATTGCAATAAATTGGTTATTCTGTAGCCCTTTTCCTGCCTGGCATTCTCTTCTCCTGTCCTACTCCTCCTCTGAAGTTCTAGCTAATAGGGTTCTAGTTCCTCTTCTCTTTATGAAATAAACAGTTTAGAATTGGGACTCAGAATCTTAGAGTTACTTAAAGAGATCATAAGGTCAGCTCCTTGCCTCCAGGGAAGTGAGTAACAAAGGAAGGCTGCCTATCCTGTTTTTAGGGATCACAAGTATCCATCATCTCCCTTAGTAAGAATTTTTTGGAGGTTTATCTTCTTGAGAATCAAAATGTTCTTTATTGTGTCTGACTTGATGCTCTTTTAAACTAGAGATAGGAACTGGCTGTGTGATTTCATTGGTATAGGTCACTGCCAAATGAAGAATCTCCTTCTATCAATACAGATTGGCAACTTTACTAGCTGTGAGACCCTGGGCAAGTCATTCAACCTCTCTCTGCCTCAGTTTCCTCATCTATAAAATGGGGATAATAATAGCACCTACTTCCCAAGGTTGTTGGGAAGATTAAGTGAAATAACATTTATAAAGCACTTAGTGCACTACTTGGAACATAGTATTTAATAAATGTTTGCTTCTTCATTTTCTTGTTTGTTTTCTTTCTTT